CCCATGTGACCGCACTGCTAATTTTGCAAAAACAAAGGGCGATCCATGTGTTTTCCTGCTTGGCATGGCATTATTTCTCATTGTGTGAGTATTACCCTTCACATCTAGTCAAATAATTCCATTGCTTTCCTCTTTTTTTAGCTCCATCATGGGACCAAACAATTTTTCCAGAGCCAGGAACACTATTGAGTTGATGAAGTAAATTATTGAAAAATAAAAGAGTGGCATTAAGATTGCTGAAATCAGTCACATGTATGGGAAGTTGCCATCCATGATAAGTTCCATTGTGGAAAAAAGGAAGCAATAACAGGCTAATGTAGCAAAAGGTGTGAATGTGCTAACGAAACAGAGATCACAAACAAGTGAAGATGTCGAACAATTATTATAATTTGGATCAATCAAAAACAGTTGGATGGCTATTCTGTTTCGGAGGCCATCATATGTGAAAAGGCCAGACTGTTGTATGCCGATCTCATTAAGAAAATGCCTGGGAGGAGTGCTAGTATACTTAGTGATTTTAAGGCCAGCAGAAGCTAGTTCGAAAAATTCAAAAGGCACACTGGCCTTTTGAATTTTTCGAACTGTTACTGGGCATGGCAAAGGTGAGTTCAGACAAGTTTTGGTCCAAAAAAATTTGTCCGAATTCAAAGATTACATAGAGGCTGAAGGATTCAACAAGTCTTCAACTGTGATGAAACTGGCCTCTTTTGGAAGAAAATGCCAAAGAGGATGTTCATTACACAGGAGGAAAAGTCACTGCCAGGACATAAGCCTATGAAAGATAGGCTAACTTTGTTGTTGTAGTAATGCTAGTGGTGAATGTAAAGTGAAGCCCTTACTGATGTACCATTCAGAAACTCCTAGTGTTTAGCAGAAACAATATGATTAAAAGTAAATTGCGTGTGATGTGGAAGGCAGACAAGAAAGCATGGGTCACAAGGCCAATTTTCATTGATGGATGAATGAAGTGTTTAGCCCGAGTGTGAAAAAATTTCTCCAGGATAATCAGTTGCCCCTTAAGTGCCTCCTGGTAATGGACAATTCTCCTGCACATCCTACAGGTTTAGAAGACACATTGTTGGAGGAGTTCAGTTTTATCACAGTGAAATTCTTGTCCCCTAATATCACACCACTCATCCAATCCATGGACCAGAATGTCATTTTCAAATTTCAAGAAACTGTACACAAAAGCAATGTTTCAAAGGTGCTTTGAGGTGACATCTGATACAGAATTGTCCTTAAGAGAGTTCTGGAAAAAACATTTCAACATTCTCAACTTCATTAGCCTCATAGATAAGGCTTGGCAGGAAGTGACTTCCAGGCAGAGTTCATTGTCCTGGATGAAATTATAGTCAGGATGTGTGCCTGAGAGGGATTTTGAAGGGTTTGAGCCTTCCCCTGATGACCCTACACGTGTGATGCAGTCAATTGTTGATTTGAGGAAGTCCATGAGTTTGGTGGTGAGTGGTGAGGATGTGGAAGAGTTGGTGGATGATCACAGTGAAGAAAGAGCTGCAAGACCTTCACCTAGAAGTGCCACAGACGGCAGATGAAGAAGGTGCTTCAGATGAGGAGGAAGAGATGGGAGAATGTGCCTTCTTCAGAGATTAAGGACATCTCCACGTAGAGCAGTGTTTCTCAACGAGGGCGATATCGCCCCCATGTGGGCGTTTTTCCATGTTCAGGGGGCGATTAGCAACAATTTATATTTTGAGGGGCGAAAAACAATTTTCTGGGCTATATAGTAAAACATTATATTAAGAATAATTAGATATTTTATTCGTTATATCGTACAATAATTAAACAAATAACATTATACTAGTCACTATTCTATTCAATGCAGTACGAATTTGGCGTTAGCCTTGTCCCTCGGCATCGGAATTTTATAGTGAAGGGGGCGATACTATGTGATGGTTTTATTGAAGGGGGCGATGATTCGTTAGAGGTTGAGAAACACTGACGTAGAGTAAGGTACAGGGGTTTGTGGAGAAAAATCACCCAGACAAAGCTGTTGCAGGCCGTGTCTGCAACTTGTTTAATGATAACATCTTGCCCCATTTCGGGCAAATCTTAAATAGGCAGCAGAAACAGACTTCTTTGGACAGCTTTCTTGTGCGACATGGGTCCACTGACTCTGAAGCTGGTCCTAGTGCCAAAAGACCTAGATTGAAAGTGACCCCAGATGGTGCCTTGATACCTAAGGTCTTTATGGTGGGAGATTCCCCTTCCAAATAATAATACAGTATCTCCACCTCATCTCCTCCTTGCTGTCTTCCATATGCCAAGAAGAGTCTTCAGAAAGGTAAATGCCATGTTAAATGTTCATTTATTCTTTACATTAGTCTTTTATATTCATTTTATATTAATTTTTTTTAGTATTTAATATAGTGTATTTATTCTCTATAAAATGTGTTTTTGGTATGTATTTTGGAGTGTTTAGGATGAATTAATTGGATTTACATTGATTCATATGGAAGTAATTGCCTCGGTTTTTGTTTGTTTCGGATTTTGTTGATTGTTTTCGGACAGATTATCAACAAAAACCGAGGTATTACTGTACTTTGTTTTTTTGATATTTTCCATTCATTTTCTGCACATTAATCTGTGCTTTAATTATTATTATTAGACCCATCTAATGGAACCTTCTTGAAAATTTATCAATTTTCAGTTAATTCTGCCCTTTTATATAATATCTATTTCAGAGAAATGAGTTTATACAGTTACAATAATTTTTTAATTTAATAATAGTACAAGATAATATTAGGTAACCAAAAAAGTTCTGTCGTTTTTTGTGAAACTACAAAGTTTAAAGAACGTTACATGCAATACACAATAGATGGCACTAAAATTCCAGCAATATGTTAATCAAGATTTAATGCTGACTCATCTTATATAAAGAGAAGCGGAAAGGTTATCTCTTAATATTATAAAAATTGACCTGAAGATGAGTACTCCAAACTCTATAATTCATGCTTGTATGTTGTATGAGTTAAACTTGGAACAAATGCTGTGCAAATGGCTCAAAAAATATGCCAGGCTTTCGGACAAGGTTCTGTCAGCACTCGTACCACCCAAAGGTGGTTTAGAAAATTTTCTTCCGGCAATGAGTCGCTTAAAGATGTGTCACGAGAAGGGCGGCCATATGTCATTAATGATGATGAATTACAGGCTGCAATCGAAGAAGATTCCACTCTAACTTGTCAGATGTTAGCACAAAGGTTCTCCGTAAGTGATGAAACTGTCTGTTTACATTTGCATAGTGTTGGGAAAGTTTACAAGCTCATCGATTGACACCTGCCAATATTGTGTGTATGGTGGACTGCAAATGGAATTGTTCACTATGAACTTATACCATCTGGCCAGACTATTACTGCTAACATCTACAGTGACCAATCATCTGCAAAATTGACAGTTCAGAAATAGAGAGGCTATGGAAACAGAGTTAGAGAAGTTTTTCAACTCTAAAGATCGTGACTTTTATAAAAATAGAAGTTATAAGCTTGTTTTCCATTGGGAAAAGGTTATTTTGAATGTGAGGGTGGTTATTCTGAAGAATAAATTGTGTTATTTCCTATACATTTTTATGTTAGTTTTCTTTCAACAAAAAACTACAGAACTTTTTTTGGTTACCTGATATTAAATGATTTGTTGTAAAGATAGTTGGAATGTAGCCAGAATAATCTAACTATTGACAGTAGTCTGAATATTCTATAATAAATCATCAAATATCAGAATTGGATGTTTATATATGCAATGAATTTCTAGCAGAAAAAAGAACATATTAATGTTTGAGATGTTATATTCTAAACTGCATACCAGTTTCATACTTTCAATGGCCACTCCAGAGACAGGGAAATAGCAAATCCAGGCACTTTACAGGGGTGTAGAAAGAAAGTAAAACAATTTGTAAGGTAGATTATTAACTGAGGTAATTGGCTTTACTCGGGAAAACTCCCACGAGGAGGATGCAGCTGTGCCCTGTACCCCTAAATCCATCCTGGCAGAGCAGCATATTTGGTTATGCAGAGATTTTATTTCCATTCTAGGTATTTTCTGCAGCTATACTCCACTGCAAGGTATCCACACAAAATTACAGTAATTAAATGTCAATGTAGAGTTGAGCAAATTAACAATTTGCTAGATTACAATTTGCACATTGAAATTCTGCAATATGTAGGACACTAAATGATGCTTCATCCCAGAGAATGTGAAACTTTTAGGTTAAGTGCAATTGTGTAATTGCAATATTACGAAAACAATGAAATAAAATGAATAGAAACAATATTTTAATAACAGTTTGTATAACTTGAACCTTTTACTTTCTTACACACAAAAATGTTACAAATACAAGCAAAGTAACAAAAAAAGGCATAACTGTACATGATCAACTTATACAAAAGTTTCAAATCAATAGAGAAAAATCATTCACAACAGGTATTCAGCGATTGTCATCCTTATTATTATTTTATTGTTGGCAGAGAGAGGACATTGTTACACATTGCCATTTACATTTTCCTGACATTCTTTGAGATATATTTATAAATATCAACATAGTCGAAATTCTAACGTAGCTAAAACCACAGTGTGATTGATGCTGAATTCTCTGCCACTTGCGCAAATTAAATTGACTACAAATAAAAGTGACGTGTCCAAAAAGAATTCTCGTTCCTGCACAAGCAATTGTTGATATGCAGTTTTTTTATCTTCACACAATTAAATAACAATTATATATATTTATTTTATATGGTATATACCGTACGTACGTGAACGGCATATATCATTCAAACAAAACTTACATCTAATACTACTAATCTGCTTTTATAATAGGATCCTGACTATTTACATGTTTCCTTTCGGGTTTATGGACTGCTCCACAAATGATAAAATAATTTTTGAACTTTTCTCTTGCTTCTTAAGTGCACTGTTTATAAGTACTGTTATGTTGTTACATTTATTATTGGAAGGTTCATCCAGATGTGGATTTTTGGCTGTATATTACATTCATTATATACATTTAAAGTTTTATAATTTTGTCAACGGTTTGAATTTTTTTTTCTATGGTCGACTTTAGACAAATCATTCACCATTGTCGGTTCGGACTTTGTCCTCTGGACATATCGATCATTAATAATCATAATTTACTTAGATTGAAAAAAATTTCCTTGGGAGAGGATGATAAATATAAAATTTTATGGCATTTTCATCGAGATAATAAATTTTGGTAGGAATAAGCTCACCCGAAAACAATTTTTTAAAAGACAAAAGAATAAGACGACACTTATTTTATAATTCGATGTGACATATGGTAAATGATTTAATGGAAGTCGATCGCATCAGACGACGAAGTAACGGATTGTCAATGCATTTCGTCCCACGGATGACGGACGTGCATCGAGATGGCTGATTCGAACAGATTTTTTAATGTCTAATTTAACAAAATCTTTCAAATTCTCCCTCTGTTTTTAATAGATTTAGAAAAAGTGTAAAAGTTCGGCACTTTGATGAGAGAAGAAAAACAAACCGTAAATAAATCATTTATACAAAGCAATGCAGCACCTCGATCACAAAGTATTGCTCATTATAAATGCTAAATTTAGAAACGAAGTTTAAAAAACTAACTACACAATTCCACATCAGGATTCTATGGTTTCTAACCATACAAATAAAAATCCAGAAAAATACAAATAAAAATAAGGCACTAAGAACATTCTCGAAAGACTGCCGGTTTGTTTATAACCGGTTAAACAGTAAAAGAATTATGAATTACACGATTCCAAAGAATTTTGCACTTAACTATTCATTTTTATGTCAGATGAAAATTTCAACTGGAATTAACACACCCGTTTCTCAGGTGCAAATTGAAATTTCAGTCACACAATTACTCTAGATTCCAATTTTCCAACAGAATATGTCATGTAATATAAAATACATCAAAAATCATTCAATATAGCCACTTGGATATTAATCAATGTATCAGATCGTCAATATATGGAATATAAAGCTAAATCAGAACTCTGATTTCAGTAATAAATGCCGCAATTGCTATAGTCAAAAACCCATCGTTAAAATAAGTGTAACCTGGGCTTGAATAGTTTATGTAATTCTAATTAGAAATATTCTAGACACACTACACAATAAAATGAACTGGAGATCCCAAAACAACTTTCTACGTATGAAATAAATAGGCATTTTATAAAAATTGTATATTTTAAATTTTTCCAAATTGGAGTGTGCACATTGATTTTTTTTTAATTAGTACTAATCACAGATAATACATACATAAACCACAATACAGGATATTTTAGTTTGACACTAGCTTCTTCCTTTGCCCATCATGTTAAAATTTATGATTTGAATTTTGTTGAAATTGAAATGTTGAAAGTTTTGTCAAAATGGTTTTCTGACATCGGTCAGTGAACAAGAGAGAAATGAATCACTCTAATTACCTATCGAAAGAGGCATTTGATTGTACTCTCCAAATTCTCTACGGAGCCGGATTGCACAAGACTCCGACGGCCCGAATGACATTTCTGAGCGAGCAAGTGCGTCGATTGACTGCATTGACATATGTCTAAACAGAGGCAGAATGAGATTTTAAACAATATTCAAACCATTTTGCTACGAGAACCTGAAATTCCGATATCGAACGGTTGGATTTATTCAACAAGTAGCATCTGTCTTACTCGAACATAAACGTATTTTTCATTAAATCAGATTAATTACGGACTGCATACGACAATTCAGTAATAAAAAGCAATCTGATCAATTTGTTCTAATCATGAGGTAGTTTCTAATATATCTGATTTAAATGAAATGAAGTAATTTTATGATGAATAATTGAGCAAAATTTTTGACATATAACTATTTAAAAGATTCACTGAATTCTGTAGCACCAAAATATGAAATAAAAAGTTAGGATTCTGGTATTTTAAAAACTAGTTTGCATTACAGCATGGATCCAACGTGTTATTAAAAATTTTCTGAAATACCTATCGATAGCCACACAAACTGAATATTAAATACTCATTCTTTTGGATAGTAGCACCATGGATTGGAACATTGTCGACACACCTCGATAAACTGCTTTTAACGTCCTTGTTTTTCTCCACAGTTAGAGCATCTGCGATGATTGTTAATTTCTACTATTTCTTTACTTTGTTTGATAACAAATGTAATGATTAATTGGAAAAAGCCTGTTATCATCAAGCTAACAGTACAGATGTGGCAGTGCTGGCACATATATTTGATGAAATTCAATGACCAAACTAAAGTAATACTAAAATTCAATGTTATACTTAAAAGAAATGGGGATGATGACAATTGAATGAGCTTTCAAACAATTGAAAGCAGGATCTATTCAATATAAAAAACATGAGGCATCACAACTAAGTCTTCCAAGATAAAACTTTGCACAGGTAAAAGTAACTGAGAATTAAAAATTGTTTTACATTCCAACTTGATATTGATCTAGAGGATCAAGTAAATCACATACACAACACATGCATGAAGCTAATTATTATCATCATCATCATTATTATTATTACTTATTTTTGGTTTTGAAGAATCAACATATACCACCAATAATTCAAGTTGGAAAAACTGGTAAAAAGACTCACATTCTTTATTTGGTTTTAAGAGACTTGAAAAGATGATGACATTGTTGTAGAAAAGATGTCATATAATTCTTTCTAGTCTTTTTTTTCTTCAGACCTAACAAGTGCAAAGCAAACTTCCCGGTGTAGGAAGCTAAAATTGAGCCATTAGAGTTTGTTTTTCATTATGATGGCAATTAAATGTCACAATGCACCCAAAAGTGTACTGTACATGGTCTGGACAATCACACACTTTACTAATTATTTGGCAACGTTGTGCTTAAGTGATTGGTTAAGAATAAGGAACTTAACAAGGCCTAGATTGCTTTCTGTGCTAGATGGAGGGGACGTAACTGGTCCTTTCATCTTTCCTGCTTATTATTATTGTTATTTTAGACCCGATTTTCTTTGGAAAGTATTTTTTGATCCTAATCGGGCAAGGTCAATTTGCATAATGGTCGAAAGACCCGAGATATTCCAATGATGCTCGATAACAAAATTGATATTGGTCCTGAAAAGCATTTATATTTTAATATTTATTATTATTAGTTATAATAAGATATTTTAATAATAATATCATCAATTTACCTCTGTATGTACCATGCCCGGTCTTTGCGTCCTCAAAGTCCTGACTGTTTGGAACATATCTACCACTCCTTCGTATTGCATTCTTTCTAAAACAATGCTCAATGTAATAAAAACACCTGTTCTTCCTACACCAGCACTAAACAGAAAAATTGATTTCTAATTAATGTATAGAAATATATTAATATTTAGAAATTTTGACAGTTAATTTTTCTTAACAAGTAATAATTTTTTATTGTTTTGTGCTCTTATATTGAGATAAATATAGGGTTATTCAAAATGATTTCCAATGACTATATTTTTTAATTTTACAAATAAGAGTTAGACTGCCTAAGTTTTACCTCTTACTATACAAGTGTTTTATTTAACTTCAAATAATTACACGAGCGATGCTGACACATAGTGATTGCAGACATGCTGGTGCAAGTAGAAGAACTCCACACCAGTAAAAATGCAATTTTTAAGCTTATCGAGGGTTACGGGCAACATTGACATATACACAGCATTCTTAATATACACCTCCAAAAGAAGACAAGACAGGGGCTAGCTATAGGTTGCCGTGTCTACTGCCACCAATTTAATGGTGAGGAAACAGCAAACATCCGAATGCCAATGATTTAGAAGGTCAAAGCAACCTTCTAAATCTTGTAAATTTTTTATTTCATTTACTATATGCCTAGTTTATATTTATACATGGTTTATAGTTATAAGATAATTCAAAATGATTTGTACAATCTTGCAACTCTTCAGGAGATTCTCGCAAGGAGACAGGGAAGTACCGAGCCCACATTCAAGATAATTGAGGACTTAAGAAGAAAGAAAGCAGCACAAGACACTTACAGAAGGAAGAGCAGCTGGAAATTAAGACGGAACAGAACTATTGGTAAGTTGTTCTTAATTATTCGTATTTTAGAAGGACTCGAGGGTCAAAAAAGGGAATGTCGTGTTCTGAGGATCACGGAGGTCGGGTTGATCTTAGTCAATCCCATGTAATGGATACGGAGTCAGAAAGGGAAAATTTGGATTTTGAGGTCAAGGTTATTGATAATCGGAACGAAACAGAGGTGCACGAGTCAGATGAGATAGAGAAGTTGCACCTAGCTAGCTGAAATAGAAGTTAGAAAGAGATCAGTTACGAAGTGAATCTAGGAATAGTAATATATCTTGGCTAGTGTAGCCAGGAAAATTGGGTGGGCTTTACCCAAAATGCCATACAAGGAAGCGGAAGTACCGTTGTGGTTGTATTACAAATGTACAACGTACTGGAAAAGCTTCAGGGACAGTTAGTTTTAACGGTACTATCCGAGAAATGCAAGACAGCTTTGAGTAGACTCACAGCAAATGAAATCAGAGACTACGAAATTTTAAAACAATTCATGCTAGACAAATTAAAGCTGTCTGCTGCAGAGTATTTTAAGGAATTCACTTCCTCTGAAAACGGAAGTAGGGAAACATGGCCGCAATTTGCAGCTAGGATGGAGCACCTATACTGGTACTATCTGAATAGTAGAGGCACAGATTCCTTCAAAAGATTGACTAAACTAGATGCCGACACCATGCAGAGGCTGTAGGGAGAGGGGATTTAGTGTATCCTTTTATTTCTCTCGGATTTATACCTTACTCTGACCAGTATGCGGAAACGAGGACAGCCGATATAACTGGGAATGTGACTGTGAAGAATAGAGAATCTGAAGCAAGGGAATCAAAAATCAAATGTTACACTTGTGGTCTAAGAGGTCATCTTAGAAGAAATTGTCCTCGGAGGCATATTAAAGAGGAAAGACCAAAATGCAAGGCAATGCGAGTTGTCACAATAGACGAAACTGTAAAAGCTGACGACCAGTTAATAGCTAGAGTAAATATTGACAAGGATATGATTAGTGGAAACATACCTTCTAATGCTAACAAAAATCTTGTGCTTACGCGTTTGGACAGCAAGTAACTGCGGTCTTAGTAACCATTCCTGTAAGCTTGAAAAAAAACGACTGGACAGAAAGGAATCTGATTATACTCCAGTTTTGATAACTTGCGCCTTAATTAATTAACTGATGAGTTTAGCTGTGCTACTGGTGTGTTACTTTTGGCAGTCGATTATTGCACTTTAAAGGAACCTAGGCAGACTGAAATTAATATAGGAGATAGTCCAAATCATACGGTCAACAGAGAGGATAATACCCGAAAGTTCAAACACTGTTCAAAGTGTTTGAACTTTCGGGTATTTCGTGTGTTTGAACTTTGTAGAGTGAAATTTGTTTTCATACTATGAAAACAAACGTTCACTCTACAAAGCGCAGATCAGAGACAAGACTCTCCAAGATAGCTGTGGTTTAGCTAGGCAAGGAAAGAACGGATACCTCATAGAGGGGGGTATTTTATATCATATGGATCAATGGTTTGGTAGAAGAATGAAGCGGAGGGAACAAGTACTAAAGTTAGCACATCAATCCTCCTGGGGAGGGCATTTCGGGAGGCATTCTTTTGGTCAAATATGACAGTGGACATATGACAGTGGACATAAGACGATATTGCCAATCATGTCATAGGTGTCAGATACGTGCTCCGGCAAGATGACCGTACACTGATTAGTCCCCTCACTAGGCCGAATGGAGTGTTTTAGATAGTGAATCTGGATGTGATTAGTCAGATTGACCCTCTGTCAGCTAGAGGACATAAATATGCCCTTTGTCTGATAGATTTATGCACTAAGCGGCCAGAAGTAGAATGCATTCGACCATTGTTGGCTAAAACAACATGTAATGCGTTATTACAAGTGTTTTTCCCTGACTTGGTGTGTTGTGACCAGGGCACTAAATTCATGGCACAACTCACCCAGGAGATGCTTAGATGATGGATGGGTGTGCACATAAGATTTTCTGCTCCCAATCATCCAAAGCAATGGTGCTGTCGAGCGATAGAATAAGACTTTCAAAAATATGTTAGTGCAAGTAATACAAGAGAACAAAAGGGATTTAGATAGGATAGTCCCTTTCTGTTGTGGGCATATTGCCGAACGAGACCACAGGTGTATCACCATTTGAGTTGTTATACTGTACAACTCTGACAGGTCCTTTATCTGTCACGAAAGGTATATAGGCAGGTGAAGTTAGTACACCAGACAGTTTAAATTCCGACATCAAAGAGTATTTAGATGGACTAACTTGATCCTTTTGGTTAATCTATGATTATGGTAAGAAAAATGCAGAATCCAAACAGCAGGTCTACACGAGTCATTATAACTTGCATACGAGATGGAAGGAGTTTGTGGTAGGCGACTCTGTCCTACCACAAACTCCTTCCATCTCATACTTCACAAAAAAAAAAAAAAGGTTACAGAGCAACTTTAAAATTAGGACAATTTTAAAGTTGCTCTGTAACCGCAAAACTGAAGACAATTCGACTGCTCAGAGCAAGAGGGTTACAACTCAAAATTTTCGATGTTTTAGTTATTGTACTTATGGGAATGCTTGTATCGAGTTCTATCTTATGTATAAAGGTTATATCTCTAAATGGCTTATTATGGCTCTGGGACGTACATATAACAGTTTTGCAATATGCTAATACACTCTGTTATTGAATTCAAGAAGGTTACATTTTGAGTTGTAACAGTTTTCAGCTTTCAATTAATTGCATTCTTGGTGAAAGAAAGTTGCATATAAAGTTGCAACTCTTTTGCATTCTAAATCTATCTATCTATATAACCCAAAGACCACTGATGGAATAATAGAAGATGACTTCCGGGGAAAACATGAAAGCAGAAAGAAAACTGATGAGGAAATACTGAAGAATGTGAAAGAACACATACTGTCTTTTGAACGTGTTGAATCACACTATTGTAGAAGAAATTCAACCAAACAGTATTTAGATGGCAGCTTAAACATTAGTGAAATGTATCGGCTATACACAGACTATTGCAGAGAAAAAGAATTACCACTTGCTAAAAAACACATTTACTCAACGGTATTTCATTCACTTAATCTTTCATTTCATCAGCCGAAAAAAGATCAGTGTTGTATATGTACTGGATATAAGAACAGTACAGATACAGAGAAATTACAATTGCAGGACAATTATAACACACATATAAAAGAAAAAGAAATGTCAAGAGCTGAAAAGACTAAGGACATTGAAGCAGCAAAACAGGATACAAATAAAATTGCTTGCTGCTTTGATCTCCAAGCAGTTCTCCCTTCACCTTGTGGTGAGTGCTCTTCCTTATACTACAAAAGGAAACTCTCATGTTACAACTTTACAATTTATGATATTTCAAACAGTAAGGGCCACTGTTATTTTTGGCATGAAGGCTTGGCCAAACGAGGTTCAAATGAAATTGGAACATGCCTCTATAAGTTCATTACTTCATTGCCCAATACAGTTAATGAAGTAGTTTTGTTTTCAGATAATTGTGCAGGGCAGAACAAGAATAAATTCATTGCTTCATTACTTTTATACTGTGTAAATAATATAGACCATATTAACACTATTACTCACAAATTTCTCATTCAAGGGCACACACAGAATGAGAATGATTCAATGCATTCCACCATTGAGCGTGAAAAACGAAGAGTTGTTAAAGGTGGGACAATAACACTACCTGCTCAATGGGTACCAGTACTGAAATTAGCCAAGAAAAAAGGCAGCGTTTATAATGTGACTGAACTAGATACAGCAGATATCTTCAATTTGAAAGACTTATCACAACAAATGGGAAACAATTTCTCCAAAAATGAAAATAATAATTTAGTGAATTGGCCCAATATTAAGATCATTAAGGTCATGAAACAAGATCCTTATACCATCTTCTACAAGCACTCATATGCGCAAGAGGATTTTGAAAAGTTAAACATTCGACAAAGAATGAGAGGTAGATCTGCCAAAGTCATGCTGCACCCAGCTTATTCTTCACCACCAGGGATAGATGCTGGAAAGAAGAAAGATTTGCTGGACTTGTGTAAAAGTGGTGTCATTCCAAGCATGCATGCATCATTTTATAATTCTCTGAAAGTTTCCAGTAGTGTTGAAAAAGACTGATCTCTAATTTGCTTGATAAAACCATAGCACAATTAGTGATACTTTTTTAATGGCTGTGTTAATTTTTTGTGAACTTTCTTACTTTTGTTTTTATTGTTTGTCATGTTTGAACAACATGGGTCTCATAAAACCAGAATGTAACATTACATTTTTCTGTCCTGTTAATATAAATACTGTAACTTTATATAAAATGTATATTATTATGTAATGGCAAACAGCTGTTCTAAGTAACTGAGAAAACAATAATGACATTTTGAATGCAAAACTGTTGCAACTCAAAAAATATATAATAATATAACAGAGAAAATATATTTAAATAATATTATTATTCCAACTCAATGTAATGACTATAATTAACATACAAACCAAATTCCATTGATTTTAAACAATTCCCTGATTTATCAGCTGGAATTGAAAACTTCAAATGGCTCTCCTGAAAAATCTATATTTTTGAGTTGTAACTCTCTTGTTCTGAGCAGTCGACTTGTGGGAAGGACCAGGCATCATAGAGGAAAAAGTGCACAACGGGAGTTATAAGGTAAAAATGGAGAACGGAGCAACGAGATGGGTGCATGTCGATAAATTAAAACAGTATGTACGAGAAACATGTTCCATTGGAGTTGTATTTGAGGGGATAACAATTTTGGCAAAATTATGGTAGCACTGACAGCAACCAGAAAGGGTAAACCTAGACTTGTGTTTGCAGTTAACTGATAGGAAAAAGATGGAATTAGAGCCAGAGGTATTCTATACAGCATTAGCCTTTTTGATTGCCGTTCTTCCTGGCCTTGGATCGAATAGCTTCTGATAGTCCTTTAGGATGTTCTCTAAGGTGGATGAAATAATTGACGAGTTACTCGAGGCTGGCAAAAAAGAAAGGAGGTATCAGACTCTATGTGGATTATAGGTATTTAAATGCAGACACCATAGCAGATAAGTCTAGCGATGTGCCATAGGATATCTATTTAAGTAGAGGGTATTGGCAAGTGCCTTTGCAGCCAGACTGTTCCCACATGACCACTTTTATCACTCATAGGGGACAATTTTCTTGGGAGGTAATGCTGTTTGGATTAAGGAATGCTTCTGCCACATTTCAGCATATCATGGACAAAGTTCTAGCCTCCCCATTAAGGTTATGTGATGTCATATATTGATGATCGTGCCAATTATTAGAAATGGCAATAACACCTAAAGCACTTTAACACTTGTCTCGTAAATATCGCAAAATATCAATTTGCGCAACCATAAATTAAATACTTGGGACATCTTGTCGGGTTAAGGCAATTACCGAGTTAGAGTTATCAAAAACAAAGAAACAGATGCATAGTTTTCTAGGAATTTGTGGTTACTACAGAGATTATATCAAAGGTTTTGGGACTCTGCTAACCTTTCCTTAATATTATTAAAGGCTTGCCCGACCTGGAAAGCCCTTATGTATTATTTACGGATGCATCAGAATATGCAGTCGGCACATATTCGTGTTTAGCCATGGTAAAGAAAGACCGGTGTCATTTGTAGTCATGTGGGCTTTGAAGAAATTTCATTATTGGGTGTATGGGAATGCCATTAAGAGTTCTTTGACCCCAAATCAAGAACCAGCCTCTGGACCATGAAGATTTAACCATTTACACTGACGGCTCTAAGTCTGAGAAGAATGTTGGTGGAATGCTACTATGGGACAGTTCATGTTGCCTCGAACTGCTGGGCATATCAGGCAGAGCTCATGGCCATTGAGTGGTGCAACAATAGGATCAACATCTTTACAGACTGTAGATCTACAATTGATGCCATCTCATGGATTAGGGGTCATGCAGGACTGCTTGGCAATGAGAGGGCTGACTTCCTTGCCAGAGAAGCTGCCAGTCTTTCTTCTAATATGTGTCTTTATTCTCTCACACCTGCCTCCTTCATTAAGCATCTTCTCAGAACAGATGCAATTAACACCTGGCAAGAAAGATGGAACAACATGGAAATTTTTTCCTAATGTTCCTACCACTAAACCTATCTTTAATGGCCATTGCAGATTCAACAGTTACCTTCATAGGTTTGGTCACTCTGACAGCAACCAGTGCATTCATTGTGGTGTTCCGAACGGAGTCCAGCCCTATGCTGGAAGACTCCAGGGAAACAATTTGTCCTCAGCCTTCAAGGACCTTGTGAAGAACTATTTTTGCCATGCTCCAAGGACTTCCACTTCTGCAGTTCCCCATACCCTTTCTAATGTTCATATATTCTATTTTTGGATCCATTTCAAACCATGAATCATTCTATATTGCTTTACTTGTATTTTTCCTCAATGTACTTAATAAAATAAAATACAGTACAATGACATATATACAACTATAGAATTCACATTATTTTCTCATATCACCTACTAAATTATTGTTACTTTATGTATACCATGTACCATTCAACTTATGTGTTCTGACCCCACCCGGTTGTGCCTATGCAGTGCCTGGTTTTGTACTAACTTTTGTACATAATAAATAATATATGACTGATGCCATTAAGATTGGTTATGGTCAGTTATTACCTTAAGCATACCTCGATTTGTGTAATGATAATTATGGTAAACTACTAAAAAAAACCATAAACAAATGATGGACCTGAGTGTAAGCTCAGCGGGCTTCCCAAGTGCCTGAGACTATCTCAGGGACGGGTTAGTGCGGAGACTGGACTGACCATGCGGTTGAGCCAACTCCACAAGCTGACTGAGGCACCACACACTATGTATAGAATTTGCAAATAAACTGTAAATATTGTATAACTTGAGTGTGGAGGTGTGCTTTCCATCGAACCTGGATCACTATATCAAATCGTGATACAAACGGAAACCAACTCAATGAGACGGAGTTTGGGAAAGAACTTCCCTTTCAGTAATTGTGAAAAAAATCAATAATAAAATTTTCTATTCTTAGGCATTTAGAAATACTTTGATCAAATATAGATGTTCATTGAAAGCATCATTAATCACTCTGATTTCAATGAACATATCAGTAATGAATTGATTAAATGAATCAAAACAAATGTATTTTCTAACCTGCAATGGACTGTAATGGGACCTTCTTGACCAAACTGTTCTTTTGTTTTGTGCACTTGACCAATAAATTCAATAAAGCCTTCACCTGATTTAGGCACTCCTTGTTCTGGCCAGTCAGTAAAGTGAAATTGTCGAATTGTTCTTGATTGTCCGTCCTAATGAAATTATAATTTCGTAATATTACGAGATGCAATTATTAAATGAAAAATAAAAATGTATAAATATCTTACCCGTGCATCTGTAACTTTAAATTCCCTAAGAATATATTGTGGCATGTTATATTCTGTGATAGGATCAACAACATAATATAAATATCTTTGCGATCTTTCATTTGGCCAATACTGATGGCACTTATCCTATAAAAATATTAGATATTTTAAAAGCTTGTAAAATCATTTTTAATTCTTTGTAAACTTTAACATAAAATTGTTAGTCACCCTTCTGGAATAAAACTTTAAACCAATTAAATTCAGAAAATATTTAATCTCATTTGCTTAAATTGACAAAAATCGTAAAAAATAGAATTTAAAAAATTTATTAAAGAATTAAGGTTGTTAGTCAAGCCTTGAAAAAGGAATAATATTTAACACTTGATGAAAATTTACAGTATTTGAATTTTGATATGTAATGTCTTTTTGCTTTCTCCATAAAAAAAAAAGGTTAAACAATAAACAATAGTGTTGAGAATAATATTGTCAACAACATATCCAGTAGTTTTTATAGATATATAAATATTTGTAGACTGTTATAATAAATATTGAAATATTTGTGCTTTTGGAGAAATATTTTTTGATATATAGAATGAGTGAACTTGATAATATCTGATTATTGAGAAATTACTTAATATTAATTCTCAATGAAATACATTTTTAAGTTATTATGAAACAATTTATGTAAAAAAGTATCAACATTCCTCAAATAGATTTTTAAAAATCAGATGCAGGATATAAAATTCTATATTACAAAGTAAACAACAAATGCCGTTTTTTGTTCTAAAAATTGTAAGTTAATTTAACATTTTGTAAAAGATATGTAAAATTAGCAATTAAAAAAAATCTGAAGACCAATCAACCCAAGAAATCAAATCTTTAATAGAATAAGTATTTGTATAATTACTGTATAATCAGTAGTTTGAGTTCACTGAGTCAGTTAGAAAAAATGTTATTTGGAGTCTCTTTTCACACTATCAAAATTATGTTAAAGCAACAAAATTTCTTTGTATGAAAAGAAATTTGGATAAAAAAGGTATATTAATAGGGAATCATATATTTTAACTTAAAAATTTTACACAGAATAACAGAAAACACTATGCAAAGAATGTGTAACATAAAAAATTTGAATAAGAGTATTTTAAATGAATAAATAAAGATAAAACACAATTTACTTGTTAAAAAGTCTAACAAGAGATTTATTTTACCTTAAAATATGGTACTGCTTTTTGTTATTTAAAGGATTTTTATTGTAGTAGTAAATATTTAGTAAAAATGATATTTAATGTAACTCTCATTAGAACCTCATTATTTTTCTGTGGCATCGTATACAGTGGGTGATCAGTTAATGAACATAATCCAGTCCAAGACCGTGTTTGCTACCCTAATTGTTCATTCACTGACTATAGATTTTTATGGGTATTTGATTAATTCATTCTGGAGACCCATAAAATAAATAAGTATATACATTTTTACCTAATAATACAAATACATATAAAAAACTCCACCATACCTTTAAAATGCAGTCTATTTTAAACACATATCGAACGTTTTCGGTCAGATTAACAGACCTTCTTCAGGATCGAACTATCAGAATTTAAATTTGCAAAACGGAAATTCCAAACTGCACGTTCTATAATCTTCTCAATTGCGCATTATTACAATTTTAATGTCGCCGCTTTCCATGCCGATGCTATTTTGTCTGATTCACGAAAATTTATATTTTGTCCTTTTTCTTTGCACTTATAAATGTACCAGGCTTCTGCATACTTTAGATGTCTTCTATTTTCCACTTTTTGTATGACATCTGCCTTGCTCCATTTGATTTCGATCTCTGTTGGATCTGCTATCACATAATTAGCCAACGCCGTGATTGGTTGTTTAAATCTTACATTCTTTTCGTGCTCCTTCAATCTTTCATTTAATGATCTTTTAGTGGCTCCTATATATCTCCTTATTCAGCCTCTTATCATACAACGATATTCTGTATACACCTGGGATCAGCCTTCTGTCAACGGGTGTTTTGTCATTTCTTAGCATTTGGAATATTGTCGTGTTTCTCTGACCGAAAACGTTTGATAAGTGTTCAAAATAGACTGAATTTTAAAGGTATGGTGGAGTTTTTTAAATAATAATGCAGTTAGAGATGTAACAAATACATATGACTGATAAAAATGCAAGACAGTGTGTATATGTTTTTCTGTTTGTGGGGCATTAAACAATCTGTCCAGTATGAATTGTTTTTTTCTCTTCTTCAGGATTTTTTGGAAGCAATTAATGGCATTGTGGTTGTAGAGATTCCTAAGCCTATTAACCTCAATCTGGTTTGGATGCCATTCTAAGACCATTGTTCTGACATCCTCCCACTTCTTCAAAAGACTTTAATAGCGGATGTCGGCATTGGTCTCCTTTTTCAAAAGAAAACATATCTCGTTGATTTTCTTGGTGTTTTTCATTCAAAACTTTTTGGAGTTCTTCTGTCATCAGATCAGTTTCAGGTTCCATTATGAGTTAGTTCTTCAATGTTCTTTGTTCCTCAGATGTGATTTTTGTTACTCTTTTAGCTACTTGAGTCTTCTTGATTATATCTTTCTTATATAAGATTGTGCTACTGTAGACCTGTTCCAAGCCATACTGCCTAGCAACATCAGATATTTTCTACCTTGCCTATTATACTCTCACCCTTTGAAAATAAAAACTGACACAAAACTTAAGGAGTGTCTGTCTAACAGTCTCATGAAGACTATAAAAAAAATTTTATCAGAAAGGTAAACAAAAGGCTGAAATTACAAGGAAGAGTTTCAAAGCTCAGAAGAATACTATCCAATCAGTATATACTGGGTTGAGCATCAATATCGACATCTCCCGCATTCCAAAAGGTTTCAGATTGTTACGTGGAGACGACGTAAAAATGAATACCAATTGGCAGCGCTGTCCAACTGGCAGCCCGCGGGCCGTATACGGCCCCCCAAATAATTTTTACTGCCCGTAAGTACATTTTACTATGAATAAATTTATGTTACTAAATTATTATTATTAATATTAAAATTATTTTACTACCGTGTTTCCCCGAAAATAAGACTGTATTATATTAATTTTTGCTCTGAAAAATGCGCTAAGTCTTATTTTCAGGGAATGTCTTATTTTATCCAGGAAGAAGAATTCACATTTATTATTGAACAAAAAAATTCCCAAGTCGAACTTAGACGAGAGTGACGTATATCCGGTGTGTCGAACTGCTGCCTTTTTATAGCGTCAACATCGGACTCGCTGTCCAATTAGTGCTTACTAAACCGTGGTTTATCAACATTCTTGGCCCCCGAAATGTTTGGTGAAGAAAATATGGCCCGCGGGCTATGATAAGTTGGACAGCGCTGCCAATCGGTATTCATTTTTACGTCGTTTCTTCTTGTGTTTGTTGTCCGAATATAAAAATTTATCGCAAAGGTATTCGTTGTCCAAACTGTTTGTTAACCGATCACCCACTGTATTTCCAATTCTTTAAGCATTATCAATTTAACATTTCTATTATTTAACATTTTCTTACCCTTCCCATTTCTTTAAGCTTTGTCAACATGACTACAATATTGCAATTATGTTCCCAAAGCATTCTCCAGAAATCTTCAGTGGTTTCTGGTAATGGTCCTTGAGTGGCAATGTAAGCATTTCGATACCTGTATCCCTAAAACAAATAATATTGGCATTTCAGATATGTTTTGATTATTTAAGTATAAAATAAATGCTAACATTAATTGTTACTTACATCGATAAAACTTGCATTAATGTAATCAGAGCCATCAACTCCACGTATAGGTTGTAGACATACTCTTGTAGACTCATCTAATAATTTATACGTCAATTTTTAAATTATTCAAAATGTTATTTTATAATACCGTAATATATTTATAAAACTAATTGTACTCACATGGTAAAATATTCATTAATCTATTTTTGAATTTGTTAATGGGAAGATTTGCACTAATGAATTTATTAGCATGAGATTTCGTACTTGAAAGTTTCTGTGCAAAAAATTTTATGAAATATTTATATTAAAGATAAAGATAAAAGAAAGCACTAACATATCTTTATTTTGTTTTTACCAACTCTGTATTATTTCAAAACTCTAAATATTGTTTTAGCTTATTATCAGTATCTTAATGATAATACAGTAAAAACTGCTTAGGCGACCACCTGCATTCAACGGGCACCTATCAAAATGGGTGAAAATTTCTGGCACCAAATAGTTTATCCACAGAGTCTTTGTATAAGTTACCTGTATTAAACGACCACCCATGTAACGCAACCGCAAGCATCGATTTTTGGTCCGAAACAACATACAACACCTGTAATAAGCGACCACTTTCGTGAATGTATCTGGTCTAAACTATTGTAAGAACCCATCTCATCAACGTTTCCACCTCCTAATATAATGAATTAGTCTAAACTCTCGTTTGAACCCATCCCGGGCACTTCTCCCACCCTCGAAATTAGGTGCAGGTGTTAATAAATTAGTCTAGCAACAAAGGAAATTCATTTCAGTTTGTTGGAAAATGTCCGAAATGCAAAGTGCTGTCGTTAGAAGATCGTATTAAAGTTATCACAACAGCAATTAGCGGCGAAGTTTAACNATCAATTTATGCATTTACATGGTAATGTTTTGTTGAATTTAGAACCTGATGAACATAAAAGATGGCATAACATGACCAGAAAAAAATCATTTAGGCCATGTGTTGCAATTTTGCAACATGCATAAAAATTGAGAAAAAAATGTTTTTTTAACTATGAAGACAAAATTATATTAAATGGCCATAATTTTTGTGCTATTTTGTCTATAAAACAGAGAGCATGACTCAGTGTGATATTTTATACCCTTCTATTGTGGCGCTTAATGTCTTAATCAAACTTAATATGTATATACTGTGTTTCTCTGAAAATAAGACCTAGCAGAGGTTTTGCTGAATTGCTAAATATAAGGCCTCCCCTGAAAGTAAGACCTAGCAAGTTTTCTTTTTACTCATAACGGTCATCGACAGATGGTTGAAAGTGGCTGTTGGCTTTTTGAAAGTATAGCCACTGATTGGTCAGCAGACAATCATGCCACATGGCATGATTTGCATAAGACTATGGTTTGGGACTCACAGATTTGCATAACATTATGGCTGGTGATCGCTAATTGTTCGGCAGGGAATCAAGCCACGTCACATTTGCATAGTGCTACGGTTCAGTAAGCACTAATTAGTCATCGAGCCCAATTTCGATGCTATAAAAAGGTTAAGTTGAAGCGAGAATGGGAAGTCCACTTCGTAACTTCACTTCGGTTTTATGTAAGTTCAGTTCGACACGACCGGATATACGTCACTCTCGTTTAAGTTAGACTTGGGAATTTTTTTGTTCAACAATAAATGTGAATTCTTCTTCATGGAAAAATAAGACATCCCCTGAAAATAAGACCTAGCGCATCTTTGAGAGCAAAAATTAATATAAGACACTGTCTTATTTTCGGGGAAACAGGGTAGATTAGAATTATTAATCAAATATATAAAGATTCATAAAAAGATTGCAGACATCATTTGCCAAATGCAACGTAGCTAAAAAATAAAATCTGAAAATAATCAATAAAAATTGTGATCATGTGATAACATCTAGCCAATACAATACTAAGAATGAATATTTTTACTAGTTTTTAGGATAGTTTTCCTGGTCTTAGTAATGTGTGGTTATCAGTGCAGGAAGATTATATGTTTATTAACTTTATTATAATTTTACGTAACAAACCTACATTCAAACAATTCATTAGTATTGTAATTATAGGATACTTTTTTTTTTACATGATTATTGTTAATGATGATATAATGTAAGTCTAACACCCTGTTATAACAGGCTATGATCTATTATGATTAATAAATTGATTTGATTTGATAATTTTACTTTAATTATTCACCATTTCAAATGAACTAGTCTATATACTTATCCTGATTAAGCAAAAGAATAATTAAAATATTAAATAATAGACATAATCAATAATTTACATTTAATATAAAATGATTTATACACTTATAACTTTCATCTATCTATCAGTCTCTTTTCAATTTTATAAGAATATTATTTCCAAATATATCTGAAATAACTGCTGTATATTTTTGTGGATTTTTTTAAATACTAAATTGAACTAACATATTCTTTTTCTAAAATAATCTCAAGACCAGAAATGCTCAAGTTTGAGATGTGAAAGTCAAGGATTGCAAGAAAATTTTTGACATAAGAATCTATAAATTTTTATTAAGAAATGTTGATAATTATTTGAATTATTTCTTTTACTTCTTAGATTAAAATAATTGTGTAATAATTAATAAAACTTATTACTTTTTTAATTTGTTTTAATTTTTCTCGTTTACATTCTGTAGTATTGATATCTATCAATAAAAATTTTGATGAAAACATGAAAATACATAATAATTGTCCAATACATGGTCTACACATAGTCCAGCTTTAAATAGCTCTAAAAAGTAACAATGAAAATGTTTTCACATGAGATTATCCATGTAAGATATATTATATGTTTCTAATGTTAGGTAATCATCAGGTGCAACAGATCCAAGTTTATGATATAGCATTTCTTATAAATTATGATCTCAAAGTTATCTCTTTCTAATAATAGATAATCACAGTTTAAAAAATATTGATAAAAATTTCTTTACCTTAAATTCTAATTCCATTCCTGTACAATTTTCTCCTGGTACTACAAGCATTAACTGCTGAATATGTGCGTAAAGATTGCGGGCAGCAATTTCTGTATTGCCAGCTATCACAGCTTCTAAAACAGCATCGTGTATAAAAATGTATTGATCTTCTGTCTGCACCATATAATTACGTTGAGCTCGAAGACAAGTTACGTGACCATAGATATCGGTTGTATTTTCTTGTTTTAGTCTTTCTAACATTGAATCTATTACTATAAAACAACCAGTCCGTCCAACACCGGCACTAGAAAATTTATGATTTTAATATATTTATGTATAAAAATATTATTTCAGTGAAATATTATCTAATATACCTGCAATGAACTATCATAGGTCCCACATCGGGTGGATTCATACTCCGTACTCTCCGAAGAAACATTAGGAATGGTGTAGGATGATCTGGAACTCCATGATCAGGCCATGCAGTGAATTGGAATTGACGTACTTCTCGTTTTTCAGAATAACCAGACTATAATTAATAAGTAGCTTTAGTATAGCTTTTACTAAATAAACATTAATAATATTTATTTTGAAAAACTTGTGTAATTTTACCCTATGTAAACAAAAAGTACGAATGCAATAAGTAGCTAATTCTTGTAAATCTACCAAAGTTACATGCATCACTCCATACACTTCAGTTCCTCTATTTGGCCAATACTGATCACACTATAAAGAAGGGTTTTTGCATTAATAAATGTCTATTGTTATTGTTATTATTTGAAAGCTAAAGAAATACCTTTATCCTAGTTCTTTCTTCAAGTTTAGTCATCATTACAATAGTGGCACTATGCTGTTCCCAGACCATTCTCCAGAAATCACCAAAAGTTTCTGGAAGTGGACCTTGAGTGGCAATGTAAGCATTTTGTTTTCTATATCCATCACAATAATTTGCGTTAATGTAATCAGAACCCGGAATTCCATCCAGCTGTTGCAGTACAACTCTGCTATGATCATAAGCTATCACATTTGCATAACGATTCTTAACTTTATTCACTTCAATATTTGAATTTTCCCATGTAAATTGTTGACCAGGTTCAATTGACTAGAAAAATATATAAATTGTAAAATCATCAAAAATTGAATATAAAATTAGTTACAAAAACATTACAAAAAGATTATAAAAATCTGTATGAATTAAATACCTCATATTCCTGAGAAAATTTTAAATTTTCATTAGCTTTCAATCTATCAATGTGATTAGCTAATTCTGTTACTGGAATAGGAGGATGGTTCATCATTGCCGGAGTCTGATAATTTAGACGCCTCATCTCAACCGGATCTGTAGGATGAGCTGCCACATCTCTTTCTTGAGTATTTGTTAAGAGTTTCATTGTTGTCTCTCCAGCTGGTGTTTTAATAATTTGGTGTCGTCTGTATAAGTCAGATAAATTCCTGTAATAACGTCACTTACCCAATGACTGACAAAACTCTCATTTGTCAATAATAAAAAGTATTTACTCAATCATTTACATTTTTAAAAAAATAATCATCTACTTAATAACTTACCTGCGAATAATCAATAAAATTATAACAGGAGTAAGAAGGAGAAGAGCTACTATTGGTCCAATAATCCAAACTACTCCCGCTTTATCAGCTGAATCATTAATTTTTGCAATGTCTGGTGTATCAGTTTTATCTCGATGATCAATTCCCGAAGATGGTTTTCCAGACAAAATTGCCATATCAAGACTCAAACTATCAGAAAATGGGCTACTCGTGTAAAGAACCTACCAATTGAAATTTTATGCATATTAATTTTCTACAAATTTAGTACCTTATAATAAATAATTATAAAAAAAATATCTTGCAATGTTTTGATTTTTATCTCGAATTTCAAAATTAAAAGTTTGACTTTAAAAAATAATCTAGTGGTCTGAATAAAAACCGAAAATATTCAACCTAAAATAAAATACAAGAAAATACTCTAACCTCTGAAATTGGAATAGGCTGAGAGCTTTTTCTCATATTTTATATAAATTTCCAACCCCAATGAATAGTTTTTTATAATTTTTACAAAATGATAAAAGATTAATGTTTTTCAAATTATAATGCATTGTGCAAAATAATAAAATAGTATTAATCAATATTTAAATGCAGGGTGGTTATAATTAAAGTTGCCCTACTCAGACCTGTCTAGAGCCCATTCTCATGGACATATTTTGATGAAATTTGGTATATATGTTATATGGACCATGGGGAAAAGAAAAACTCAAAAAAATATTTAGTTCAAATTTTTATCACTGGTGAAAAAAATGGCGCATGAAGAACAAGAAACAGAA